CGCCAAAACCGGACAATTCACCAGTGTACAGTAGAGTTTTAGTGCATGATAAGTATTTGCAGCTGAATGTTTATTTATACGCTTACTGAATTCTTGAGATATGGTATAGGCCTTGATGATTGGTAACGGACTGTTTTTCTTGCGAGCTTCCTGGAAATATATTCTAATCTTATTCCATTCATTGTTAGTAGGCATGTATTCTAAAAACGTTTTCTCGATCGTATCTACTTTACTAGCTACACTTGAGGATAATTTGGATTTTTTAAATTCCTGATGAAAGTTTTTGGCTATTTCGATCGCCTTTTCATTTTTATCAATAGCCAAATGCCATTCGGACCACTCTAATCTATTTCGTTGGCGTAGAAGATTGTGAAGATCGTAAACACCAACAGTATCGATTTCCTTGCGTAGTCTTTCCCAATCCGATTCGCGTGATGTGGCAGATGTTATATAAAACAATGGTAATTCTGAGGCGATGTTGTCTCTTTGAGTAGGGTGGAACACAGCTACTAATGAGCTCCAAGCTGTCGACAAACACTTCAATGCAGCCATTTTGTTTCTTTGAAAATTCTACAGCTATATAGTAGCTTTATAGGTACTTGAAAAACGTTTGTTTCACGTTAGAGATCGTCTAAAAGAAACATTATATTCGTGTTAAGGAGAACATACGACAAATAAGAAAAGTTTTTTAAGAAGGAAAAGAAGTTCAACGAAGTGGGACATCCAAAGTCCAAAGAAGCAGTTTTAAATTTAGTTTGGCTCAAAATTTTGACTGTGACTCTCACCAGTGTCAAATGCGAAGATTCAAACTTCAATTATAGTCGTTTTATATATGGTTCAAGAAGATTCTTTGCTACTTTATGTACTTAACGTGGTTAAATCATTGTTTTCACTATGTTTGCTAAGCGGTCGAAGTTCCCATTTTTTTGTAATTTTGATTCAACTTGCTGCTTAGCAAGTAGAGTGCAGAATTGAAATATACATTCAGAAAAATCTAGATAACTTTTTAAAAACTATGCTGTCAGTAGTTTCATATTTGAAAGAGACAGCGGATAGTTCAACACAACTCGAAATGGGGACAGGTTGGAGGTCAACTTTTACTGGACATATTTTATGAATGACTCGAAGCCTATGGAAGAAATCAATATTCAAGTAAGATAAATATTTATGTCGATCTATATGACTATAATAATTTTATATACTTTGAAATTTCTCAGTGTAGAATACAGGATTAATTTACGAAGTTCATTCTGATCTATGTTCGATATAGAATACACAAATAGTATTACTTTCATCTATATAATACTTGGACACAACTAGGAGTAGCAGTTTACTTTTACTTTATCTGGTAAGCTAAATTTGAGTTACTGTACTTACTGGTAAAATAAACTAACTGAGCTCTACTTTATTTGATAAAGCACAGTTAAATACTTTACTTTTCTTTTTTCAAGTAAAACAAATATAAAGTATACCCCTAAGCACAATTAATCGATTTATTATGTTCAATGTATATTTCTTGAGTCACAATATTGTTTACTACCGATATTATTCTATTTGACTGCATACAATTCACATGTAATGCAAGGTACGAATATTGATCTAGATTATTCATGCACTGTTGATAAAGAGAATACTGATACTGCATTAACTCTTTAAGTACCAGTGTACTTTATAAAGTACGGTTTTTTCGAGTTTTGTATTTTTTCAATAACTCGCGAATGCAACACGATATCGAGGTATGGTTTTCTGTATGACATCGAAGAGTCTTCGGTACACACATTTATAGAGGATTTGCAATACAATAAAGTCATTGACATGATAAACATAATCATTATTTGGAAGACCATATATACCTAATTTTACATTATTTTCGTTTTTTTAGTAAAATACTGACCATGATTTAAAATCACTGAATTTTATTTTATATCAATAATATGATAGATGTCTGTAGTAGAATAAGATGAGTATACTTAGTGACCAATTAGTCTATGTACACATCCAGATGAGTCATCGAATCAATGTCGAAATGCACTTTCTACTTTTTATGAGGCATCAGAAGATAAAAATACGATGGAAAT